TTTTTTTTTTTTTTTTTTTTTTTTTTTTTTTTTAAGTCCGGTAGAAGTGAATATGTGCGTTAAAGCATGTTGGCGTGTGCATCTTGTTAGTAATCCACTGGTTGGTTTCAACTATGAGTTGTGTAGAAAGTTATTTTTGTTTGGTTTCTTATTGTTAGCATTTTTGGGGTGTGGTATGTACATTTTTTTTATTTTTTTTTGGATTCATCTTGTTTTCTTTGGAGCATATGGTAGGTGGTGGGGGTTGTGTGCTTGTCGTGAGACGGGGTGTGTGTATGCGTGTGTATGAAGTCAAATTTTTATTTTTGAGATAGTTTTTGTGGAGTTATGCATGGTATTGGATTGGATACTGTTTTAATACTTTGAGAAGATTAAAAAAATAGTGTTTTATTTAACATATTTATTTGTGAAAATAAATTTTGGTGCAAATTGAATGAGAACTCATTTTGACACCACAGAACTAAGACATCTTGTTTTGTTTTGTTTTTTTTTTTTTTTTGGTTATATTAGAAGGGATGATATGCTGTGATGTGTTAAAATCAATTATGCAGTGAAAAATGTTTCTTATAAATTTGTCAAATTTTTAGAGTTTTAACATTGTTGTTGTATAATGTTGGTTGTAATTTTTGTCACAGCACACTAATTTTTTTTCCTTTTAATTTCATTGTTAGTGTTAACTATGTTGGTTATAAACCAGAAAGCATATGCGTTTGAATGTGTCGACCAACATACAGTTATTACTATTATTACTTTTATTTTATTATTTTTTACTGTGTGTGCTGGTTGATTGCATGGTGTGTGCGATTGACATTGTGTTTTTTGAATATGCGCTTTTTATTAATTTGATAAATGGTATTAATTAAGCTTGGTATTTTCAGGAAACAATGGTGATGGGAATCCAAATGTTGCGGTAGATAGCCCAACAAAAGTTGTGTGGCATCAAGCACTAAAGCATTTCAATAGATCAATGCCCCACTATACCTCGTTTGTTATTATTGTCTTATTAATTATTAATGTGCTTTTAATTATTATGTTAGTAAATTCTTGTACTATTACAAAAGTTTTGAGTTGTAATTTGTTAAATATTACGGAGTATTTGCACAAGCATCAACCTAACTTGCATATTCTAATACAAAATTCCACCAATGTCTCGTTACCTAACCACATATCATATCAAAACACAATGTCTGATTGCCTTTTCAACTTTTTACCACTCAGTTGCACAACCTAAAGTTCTAACTTGCACATGGATAAAACCTAGCATGCACAGGCTGGGAATATAACGGTAATAGCCTTTTGTGTCCTACTTGCTTAGGCTAAGCAATTCACTCGCAAAGGCTAACCCTCAAACTTGCACAAGCATCAACCTAACTTGCATATTCTAATACAAAACTCCACCATGTTTTTTCCACCAATGTCTCGTTACCTAAACACATATCACATCAAAACACAATGTCTGTTTGCCTATTCAACTTTTTAAAACTCGTGCGTTACATACTAAATGTAATGTGATTTGTATTGAACTCCTTCATCATGCGCTCATTAGACACAAGTGAAATTAACTGCACACACTTCAGATTTGCAACGCACAGACTTAACATATTATATGCACATACATACGAAAAGTCAAAAAGTAGTTCTAATACGATTGCACATACCTCTAACCATTTGCTCCATCACTGTGTCCTTGAGAAACCACCGTGCACTTTGTTCCTGATTACGAATGCTTTAATTCAACTCTCACAATATTAATACTAATTTGTTGCCATTAATATATAATTCTATCCCATAATCAATTGATCCTTTACATGGAATATATCCAATTTATTTTTAACCATAAATAGCTCCAATATTACAATTACTTATTCACCCTTATGCATAGACTACTACATTAAATGCATAACAAATCTCTTTCAATCTCACCCCTTTATATGTAATGATTTAATGGATGAGATGAGGCCTCATGATCTTATCCATCTAAGTGACCTCATGGGATCCGGAGCCTATAGATATATATATATATATATATATATATACATATATATCTATATATATATACATATATATATATATATATATATATATATATATATATACATATATATATATATATATATATATATATATATATATATATATATATATATATATATATACATATCTATATATATATATACATATCTATATATATATATACATATATATATATATATATATATATATATATATATATACATATATATATATATATATATATATATATATATATATATATATATATATATATATATATATATATATATATATTTGCGTTCTGGTGCGAATGGCACGCCTAGGTGCGAAAATGCGAACCGAACACGCGCCACGTGTCCAGATCTAGGTGTACATATAGTTATAACTAGGTGCACCTAGGTGAAAGTAGGTGCACTTGTAGGTGAAAGTAGATGCACCTTATAAATGAATGTTAATAAAGCAAAATTACATGCACTTGTAGGTGAAAGTAGGTGCATGAAAGTAGAGGCAAAATTACATGCACTTGTAGGTGAAAGTAGGTGCACTTGTAGGTGATAGTAGGACACGTGACGTGCACTGATTGGTTCGCATTTCGCACCTGGGCGGCCATTCGCACGAGATCTGACCCATATATATATATATATATATATATATATATATATATATATATATATATATATATATATATATATATATATATGTAACACCTACGATCTTAAAGCTTGAAGGCACAACAATGTGCTCAGGAAGAAGGGACAATGTGCACTGAAACTCTGAAAAAAATTAACCAACTTACACAAAATTACAATAATGCCACCGCATTTTTTTTTAATTTTTTAAATTGCTTCATTCCGGACGTTGATCTGATCTGAATCAATGGCTGAGATTACCTCCTATTTCTCACCTAAGGTTTTTTTTTTTTTTTTTTTTTTTTTTTTTTTTTTTTCTTCACTTGATCCTTTATATATAACTATAGTTTCATTTCGATATAATTACAGTTTCATTCAATATTTATATACTCCAATATGTGAAAATGTTAATTAATTTTATTTTATATACACTATAGTTTCATTAAAACACAACTACATGATCATTTCGATATAACTACAACTTCATTGCACAATATACACTAAAATATGTGAAATGTTATTCAATTTCATTTTATATACAATGTAGTTTCATTGCAACATAACTATAGTATCATTTTGATATAACTACAGTTTCGCTGGGTAATATACACTGAAATATGTGAAATTGATATTCAGTTTCATTTTGTATACACTGCAGTTTCATTTCATAACTATTGCAGTTTCACTTGATAATATAAAAATAACACGTGAGCTGAGGCAGTGTCAGTTTAGATACACTGTAGTTTCAGTTGGTAATTAATACACAAAAAATACACACTCTGTTAACGATAACGGCGCGCCATTTCTTTACTTAAAGAAATGGTGCCGTTTTTTTACCACGGTGCATGTGCATCGCGGTCCATGATATAACGACTGAAAGATAGAAGTCTAGAACTCTATAACTAAGGTAATTGAGTCCAAATCCATATAGTCTTCAAATTATTGTATTACAAAAGTGAAAAAGTTATAAAAAAGTTTTGTCTAAATATAATGCATAAAATTCAAAAAGAAAAAAATACATTTCAAAATTTAATTTAAAATTAGTGACATTTCCGTGCATACTTAAATACAAATTTATTCACCCAAATTTCGATGTCAATTACTTCTAAAATTTTATTTTCACTTACAATTAAAACCAATATATAGATTCTAAAAAATATTTATCAAGTATAAAAATATTGAACTATATATAAAATATTTTTAAAAAAAAATTAGACCACCAAAAATTGGGGGCTCTGTGCGGTCGCCCTAGCCAGACATGGTCAAGGCCAGCCCCTGATATATATATATATATATATATATATATATATATATATATATATATATATATATATGTATGTATGTATGTATGTATGTATATATATATGTATGTATGTATGTATGTATGTATGTATGTATGTATGTATATATATATATATATATATATATATATATATATATATATAAATGATGTAAGAACAATTTTGTCTGATAAAAAAATAATTGTACAATATTTGTAAAGCAATTTAAAATTGTACCATTAGTTCATTATAGAAATATCGACAAAAAATATTAATATTATAATGACCTAAATCATTCCTAATAATACAAACGTATAATTAAAATATTGAGTCTTATTCCAAATAATCTACAGAAGATTAATTAAACGAAAAAAAACACTTAATCTAGATTTGTTTTTTGAAAAAATGCAAGAAAATGATTTTCAAGATTCGGTGTGTGTGTGTGTGTGTGTGTGTGTCTCCAGATTCGTTATTTGTAATCTTCGATGCTCAACTTTGAATGTTGTGTATGTAGTTGAGCTAATTAATTGACCAAAGTTTATGTTACATTTTAGATTGTATTTTATTTTAATACACTCTAACATATCCGTAGCATATGTTCAACAATTACGCCAACTATAATTGACATGAATTTCGAACCTAAGACCTTCCTTATGGAAATCAATAAGTTAATAATAATAAATAGTTAATAGAATATTCTGTTATTAAAATTTATTATTATTATTATTATTATTATTATTATTATTATTATTATATTATAATTATAATAAATGGAAAAGTCGGAAAAAACGTAAAAGAAAATATTAAAACAAAAATAATATGAACCGTTAATTTAAATAATAATTACACCAACATTTTTTTAAACGCTTCACTTTATTGGCTCTTATAATATTTATTATTTATTATATATTTAGTAGAAATGTGATTTTCGTTTTCAAAGTGGAGAGATATAGATCCAGTCAATGAAATTATTGAGTCGTCGGGTGGTAGGTGCAGAGTGCAGACTAAGTTATTGAGTTGACTTCTTGGAACTCTATAATTAATTTACTAAATTTGTTTGTGGATCCGATCTCATATATTTTATTTGAATCTATCTCAATTATATTATTCCAATTTGTTTGCTGTATGTATGGTGGCGGCGTGGAGTTAGTTCCAAAATATGGCTTCTGCTACCCCTTCACCATCATCATCAACTCCGAAATTTACTTATGATGTTTTCTTGAGCTTTCGAGGGGAAGATACTCGCAAGAACATTGTGGATCACCTTTACCATTGGCTGAAACAAAAAGGTCTCCATACCTTCAAAGATGACGAGCGGCTGGAGAAAGGACAGCCTATCGCTCCAACTCTTCTGCAAGCTATTCAAGAATCAAGATTTGCTGTTGTCGTCTTCTCCATGACCTACGCGTCATCGGCGTGGTGTTTAGACGAACTTGTAAAAATCATGGAATGCAGAGAAAAACTCAACCAAGTTGTGGTGCCAATTTTCTACGACATAGACCCTTCACATGTGCGCAAACAAACTGGGCGTAGCTTTGAAGAAGCATTTGCCAAACATGAAGAGAATTTCACGGATGATAATGAGGGCAAGGCCAAGGTTGAAAGGTGGAGGAAAGCTTTGACAGAGGCAGGCAATATTGCAGGGCACCATTTGCAGGGTGATAAATATAACGGGTTTGCTCGCTTTCAACATCCTACCTTGTTTTCTTTATCATCTTACTCCCATTTTTTTTAATTTTAAATTGTTTTAGATCTTATTAAATATTACAGAGTATAATCAATTATAAGAGTTAGAGTGTGTTTGGTTCGCACATGGGAATTGGCACTACTACCAAAAAACGCTTTTAACATCGGTTTTTTAAGACTTTTAACGTCGATTTTGGAATAACCGACTTTATATGTTAGACGGTAAATGCTATTTCTGTAGTAGTGTGGAATCAGAATGGAATCAAATACTTGGTAATAGTATGGGTTTTCAGTTGTTATATTATAGACCGCGGTGCATAATCGATTATGCACCGCGGCCCATATACGGCGCCGTTTCTTTAAGTAAAGAAACGGCCCGCCGTTAGAGTTAACGGAGTCCGTTTGTTTGGTGTATTAAACACCAATTGACACTACAGTATATCCAAACCGACACTGCAGTTATATCAAAATGATACTGTAGTTATAGTGAAATGAAACTGCAGTGTATATAAACTGAAACTGAATAACATTTCACATATTTGAGTGTATATTGTACAATGAAGCTGTAATTATATCAAAATGATCATGTATTTGTGTTTTAATAAAACTATAGTGTATATAAAATAAAATTAAATAACATTTTTACATATTTGAGTCAATAAATATCGAATGAAACTATAGTTATATCGAAATGAAACTGTAGTTGTGTTCAACTGAAACTGCAGTGTATACAAAATGACACTGAATAACATAGTTACTTTTTGCAAAAGGGTGCGAAACGGCGAAAATAAACACTATTAATTTTCATTTAAAAAAAAAAAGACGCGCGGTGCATAATCCATTATGCACCGCGATGCATAATATAATTTGCCATGGGTTTTGGTGAAAGTATTTTGCATGTTTTGTAGTAGGGTGGAATTAGAATGATTAACAATATATATTGATGGTTGGTTACGTATGACCTTATAATGGGAATAAATGTTTTAAAAATACAAAATAAAAAATCAAGGCAATTGATCTTAATATAATGATATTCAAAGCACCAATATGAACACAAAGAATAAAAACAAAAATCTAAAACATACACTAATCCAAACTTAAAAATCATATTACCAATAATGCAATAAGATAGAATGATACCTTTATTAATTAGGAAATTGAGTTTTTAATTGAAGAGGTAATCAAATCCATAGTTGTGTTTTAAAAAGTTGTCAACCAAACATTAACTATGATTTTGATTCCCATTCCTAGTGTGCAAACCCATGAACCAAACACACCCTTAGTCCTTTTTCAGAATATCCCCTTTGGTCCTAGTATTATTGTGGCATGCCTTTTTTTTTTTTGGTCCTCAATCAACAAAACCGTTTATAAATTCGGTAAAATATAATGACATTTAGGGTCTGTTTGGAAACCCGGAAAATCACTTTTGGAAAATGACTTCTGGAAAATGAGTCATTTTCCAAAAGTCATTTTCCTTTCCTGTGTTTGGCTGCACAATGGAAAACTGTCTTTTGGTGTTTGGTTCATTTTCCAGAAAATGATGGAAAATTGTCTTTTGGTGTTTTGTTCATTTTCCAGAAAATGAACAAAATGGCATACTAAAACATTTTAATTATTATATACCGAATATGACATTTTAAAATCACAATTACATGTTAGAAACAACATAAATGCATAAATAATCAAGTCTTGAAAATTAAAATTCACAAATTAAGCAAAAGCATTTTATTATATAATCAGTACAAAAAAAATAACAGCAACATGATTTGACATAAAAAAAAAAAAAAAAAAAAATTGCATCTGGTTTCGGAACTGGTTTTCCGCATCAAAACCAGATCTGGTTACCGATGCGGAAAACCAATTCACTGGTTTCCGATCGAAAACCAGTGACCTCGATCGGAAACCAGTGACTGCACTGGTTTCCCCAGCCGGAAACCAAACTGGTTTCCGGCTGGGGAAACCAGTGAAGAAGGTTGAAAAAAAAAATCAAAAAGGGGAAGTCATTTTTTGGGAGAAGAAGGTTTGAGCGTGTGTTGATTGGAAGATGGAAAATGACTTCCGCCAAAAAAAAGTGGAAGTCATTTTCCGGATTTTAGCCTTCATTTTCCATTGACTAATAAGCATTTTTCCTTTGATCATTTTATTTTCAGCCTTTCCAAACACCAAAAACCCGGAAAATGATTTCCAGAAGTCATTTTCCGGGTTTCCAAACAGACCCTTAGGTCTTCAATTATGAATTCTTTTCAAAAAAATAAAAATAAAAATATAGTGAGTCAACCCACTTTATATAAAATAGATTGAAATGTCCTTTGTATTTAAGGACATTTCAACAATTTTGTTAACGGAGAAACAAAAATGGTCATGCCACAATAATACTAGGACCAAATACGAATGTTCTAAAAAAGAAGGATTAAAAGTGGACTGTCACAAATAAATTTAGAACAAAAAATCAAATTAACTCCTAATTATAAATATAAATTGAAAAACTACCAACTACTAGTTCGATGTCTTCTCAGGTTTGAAACAAAATGTATCGAAGCAGTCATTGCTGACATATCGAAACAACTGCCTCCACCTCCAAGTGTCCAAAAAAGTTTAGTGGGATTAGAGTCGCGGCTTGAGGAAATAAGAAGGAAGTTGAAAGTGTGGGATGAGGATGTTAAGCTAGTATTAGGCCTTTGGGGTATGGGCGGAATTGGGAAAACAACCATTGCAAGAGCTACTTTTGATAGATTTTCTAGTGGATTTGATGACTCATGTTTTCTTGCTGATGTTAGAAAATATGGGTTGGAAGCCTTGCAAAAGAAACTCCTATCAAAACTTCTGAAGGAAAATTCAATTCATATAGATGATGTGGATGAAGGAATTCAGATGATACAGAAAAGGCTCGAATGGAAGAGAGTGTTGATAGTTCTTGATGATGTAGATCATCGGGATCAATTAGATAAATTGGTTGGAGACGGTGAATGGCTTTGTAATGGTAGTAGAGTCATCATAACTACAAGAGACAAGCATTTATTCACTCAATTTAGTGTTGTTGAATGTTATGAAGTAAATAAATTGGAGGAAGAAAAAGCTCTAGAACTATTTAGTTGGCATGCTTTTAAGAAAGAATCCCCCGAGAATGGATTTGAAGATCTATCTACCTCTTTTGTAGCTCATGCTGGTGGCCTTCCATTAGCCCTTAAAGTCTGGGGTTCTTCTCTATGTGGACAAACAGACCAAAAAGTGTGGGAAAGCACACTAGGGAAGATTAAAGGCATCCGAGATGGGGAAGTTATTGAAAAGCTTCGAATAAGTTATGATGGATTAGATGAGGAGTGCAAAGAAGTATTTTTGGATATAGTATGTTTTTTTCGGGGCAAGCGTTGCGATATTATAGAAGAAGTACTTGATGGTTGTAAATTAAATCCTGTCGCAAACATATCTATGCTTATTGATAGATGTCTTTTATTTGAATCAATTGGATATGGTTGGCGTCGTATTCATATGCATGATTTGATACATGAGATGGGGTTGAATATTGCAAGAGAAAAAAGGAGTAGGAGATGGCGGCTTAACCACCTTGATGATGTAAGATACATTTATTGTGGCTAGCTTAATATCTTCCTAATTCCTAATTATATTAATAAGCTAACATCAAGTGGTTTTTTTTTTTTTTTTTTTTTTTTTTTTAAATGTTTTTTTTTTTGCATTGAATTAAAATTATTAATATACATATTATTTTCTTGTTATAGGAGCCTAAAGCGGTGGAAGGTCTTTTGCTTTCATTCAACTGTGATGATGAGAATATTAGCCTTTGCATTGAAGCTTTCAAACAAATGACAAAATTGAAGATGCTCATTGTTGAATATCATAAATGTTATCTTTGTAGCTCAGTGTCTACTCATCAAAGTATTGAAGCTTTCAAAGAGATAGGCATTATGAGTTATCTTCCTAGGGGTTTGGTGGTGCTTAAATTCCAACGTTATCCATGGTCAAAGCCTTTTTGCCCAATGGTATTAATACTTATCCAACTCTGCACTTTGTATTAATCTTTTTTTTTTCTTTATTTAAGAGTTCAACCTTTCTTTAATTATCCTCAATTCTTTTGTTGCAGGAAATGAAAAAACTTACCTATTTGGATCTTAGCTCATCGAACTCTTTGTTAGAAACCCCAAATTTTGCAAAGATGCCAAATTTGGTGAATTTAAACCTTTCACGTTGCAAGAACTTAAAAACGATCGATCCATTTGTTGGAAATCTTACGAAACTTGTTAAATTGAATTTAAGTGAATGCAAAAACCTTACAAAGCTTCCCAGCTTCAATAAGGTAAGTTTCATGTCTCAAGTTTCTCAATTTTGACAATTGCACTAAGTTATAAAATTTTCAAGAAATCAAGGCAAGTACACTAAATCTAGAGGAGTTTGATTTTATAGAAATTGAAATTACAAAATCTCCCATATCTTAGCACCAACTATGCACTTTGTGTTAGTAATTTATCTTTTATTTTTTATATTTTTAATTTAAGGGACGACAACGTAATATTTTATAGTAAGTCTCATTCTTCTAGTGTAGGAAATGGAAAACTTTATCCATAAGAGTTTATATCAATTTGACTATTCTCATTCGTCTCATGCAGGAAATGAAGAAGATTACCCTTATTGATCTTAGATTTTGCAGCTCTTTGTTAGAAACTCCAAATTTTGCTATGATGCCAAATTTGAAGTATTTATACCTTTCAAAGTGTGAGAAATTGAAAGAGATTCACCCATCTATTGGGAATCTTACAAAGCTTGTCAAATTGGATTTTAACAAATGTAGTAGCCTTGAGAAGCTTCCCAACTTTAACAAGGTATCGTTTTTCCGTAATCTCAAGCTTAAAAATTGCATGTACAAAATATTTCAAAAATCAAGGCAAGTACATCACATCTAGTGGAGTTGATTTATTGTGTGCTAGGATTATATATAGCTTCTCTCATTGACACAACAACTTAGTAATGTGTTAGTTATTTTTTAATCTAAGTAGTCACATCAATATGATTATTCATATTCTTCTATTGCAGGAAATGAAGAACATTACCTATTTGCAACTTAGATCTTGCAGCTCTTTGATAGAAACGCCAGATTTTACAATGATCCCGAATTTGGAGTATTTAAACCTTTCTCAGTGTAAAAAATTGAAACAGATCCACCCATCAGTTGGAAATCTTATGAAACTTGTCAAATTGTATTTGAACAAATGTAGAAACCTTGAGAAGCTTCCCAACTTTAACAAGGTATCATATCGCTAGAATCTCAAGCTTAAATATTGCATAAAATTAATAAACATTTCATAAATAAAGGCAAGTACAACACATGCATCTAGTTAAGTTGGATTTATTATTTGTTAGGATTATAGAATTTCTCTCATCTAAGCATCGACTTGGCAATATGTGTTAGTTATTTTCAAAATGTTTTTTAAGTTAAAGAGTTCTAATCAATTCGTTTATTCTATTCAGGAAATGAAGAACATTATCCATTTGGATCTTAGATTTTGCAGCTCTTTGTTAGAAACTCCAAATTTTTCTATGATGCCGAATTTAATGTATTTATCCCTTTCAAAGTGTAAGAAATTGAAAGAGATCCACCCATCTATTGGAAATCTTACAGAACGTGATGCCTTGGAGTTGGATGGATGTAGTAACCTTGAGAAGCTTCCCAACTTTGACCAGGTATCAAATTTCTAAAATCTCAAACTTCAAATTGCATAACATTACAAAAACATTTCATAAATCAAAGCAATAACACCATATCTATTGGAGTTAGATATATTATTATAGATAAAATTGTAATTTATGCCCCTACATAAAATGCCAATTATCAATTTCACTCATGAATTATTAGTGGTGTAAATGGTGCCCCTCAATTTTCCTCCCTGTATGGTACGGAAGGGGCAATAAATGTACCGTTTCAAAAAATTGAGGGGTAACATTTACACCATTAATAATTCAGAAGTAACATTCATAATTGACATAGGGGGGGGGGGGGGGGGGGCATATAATTTTCCCTATATTATATGTTGGGATTATAGAATTTCCTTCATCAATGCAACAACTCGGTAATATGTGTTAGTTATTTTAAAAAAAAATATTTAATTTAAGAGTTTTGGTGAATTTGACAAATCTCATTCTTCTCATTCAGGAAATAAAGAACATTACCCATTTGGATCTTACATCTTGTAGCTCTTTGTTAGAAACTCCAAATTTTGCTATGATGCCAAATTTGAAGTATTTAAACCTCTCGAAGTGTAAGAAATTGAAAGAGATCCACCCATCAGTTGGAAATCTTATGGTACTTAACGTCTTAGATTTGGATGGATGTAGTAACCTTGAGAAGCTTCCCAGATTTGACAAGGTATAATATCCCTACTCTCTAAAATCTCGAACTTCGAATTGCATGAAATTACAAAACATTTCAGAAATCAAGACATCTATACGATATCTAGTGGTGCTGGATATATTATATCTTGATATTATAGAACTTCCCTCATTGACATAAAAAACTCGACAATATGTGTTAGTTTAAAAAGTTTTTTTTTTTGATTTTTTTTTTAAATTTAAGAGTAATAATCAATTTGACTAATCTATTTGGCCTCATGCAGGAAATGAAGAATATTACCCATTTGGATCTTACATCTTGTAGCTCTTTATTAGAAACTCCAAATTTCGTTATGATGCCAAATTTGAAAGATTTAAACCTTTCAAAGTGTGAGAAATTGAAAAATATCCACTCATCTATTGGAAATCTTACTGAACTTGATGTCTTGAATTTGGATGGATGTAGTAACCTTGAGAAGCTTCCCAACTTTGACAAGGTATCATATCTCTCTAATCTAAAATTTCACAATGCATAAAATTACAAAACATTTCTGAAATCAAGACAAGTATACCATATCTAGAAGAGTTGGATATAATATATGTTAGGATTATAGAAATTCCCTCATCAACAAATCAACAAAACAACCAGGCAATATATGTTAGTTATTTTTAAAAAGTTTTTTTTTTTTTTTTTTTTTTTTTTTTTTTTTTTTTTTAAACTTAAGTGTTCTGTTCAGTTTGACTAATCTCATTCTTCTCATGCAGGAAATGAAGAAGGTTACCCGTTTGGATCTTACATCTTGTAGCTCTTTGTTAGAAACTCCAAATTTTGCTATGATGTCAAATTTGAAGTATTTAAACCTTTCAAAGTGCGAGAAATTGAAAGAGATCCACCCATTCGTTGCAAATCTTATGAAACTTGATGTCTTGAATTTGGATGGATGTAGTAACATTGAGAAGCTTCCCTGCTTTGACCAGGTATAATATCTCTAGAATCTCAAACTTCGAATTGCAAAAAATTAGAAAGTATTTCATAAATCAAGTATACCATAGCTACTGGCTTGGAGATATTATATGTTAGAATTATATATAAAACTTTCCTCATTGACGCAAAAACTCGAGAATATGTGGTAGTTATTTTTAAAAAGGTTTTTAATTTAACAATTGAAATTAATTTGACTAATCTAATTCGTCTAATGCAGGAAATGAAAAATATTACTCATTTGGATCTTACATCTTGTTGCTCTTTGTTAGAAACACCAAATTTTGCTATGATGCCAAATTTGAAATATTTAAACCTTTCAAAGTGTGAAAAATTGAATGAGATCAACTCATCTATTGGAAATCTTACGGAACTTGATGTCTTGGATTTGGATGGATGTAGTAAACTTGAGAAGCTTCCCAACTTTGACAAGGTATCATATCTCTTGAATCTCAAACTTCAAATTGCATAAAAATACAAAACATTTCGAAAATCAAAGCAAGAACAACACATCTAGGGGAGTTGGATATATTATATATGTTTGAATTATAGAACTTCGCTCATCGATGTAACAACTCTACAATATATGTTAGTTATTTTGAAAAAGTTTTTTAATATAAGTTTTGTTGATCAATTTGACTAATCTCATTCTTTTCATGCAGGAAATGAAGAATATTACTAGATTGGATCTTACATCTTGTAGCTCTTTGGTAGAAACTCCAAACTTTGCTATGATGCCAAATTTGAAGTATTTAAACCTTTCAAAGTGTGAGAAATTGAAAGAGATCCACTCATCAGTTGAAAATCTTATGGAACTAGCTTTACCCAGGTATAATCTCTAGAATCATAAACTTCAAATTGCATGAAATTACAAAACATTTCAGAAATCAAGGCAAGTACACCACATTATATGTTCGGATTATAGAACTTCCCTTATTGTCGCGACAACTCTACAATATGCATTAGTTATTTTTGAAAAGTTTTTTTAATTTAAGAGTTCTAATCAATTTTCACTATTCTCATTCGTCTCATGCAGGAAATGAAGAACATTACGCATTTAGATCTTACATCTTGTAGCTGTTTGATAGAAACTTCGAATTTTTCTTTGTTGCCGAATTTGAAGTATTTAGACCTTTCAAAATGTGAGAATTTAAAAGAAATCCACCCATCTATTGTAAATCTTACAAAACTTGATGTCTTGGATTTGGATGGATGTAGTAAACTTGATAAACTTCCCAGCTTTGACCAGGTATCATATTTCTAGAATCTCAAACTTCAAATTGCATAACATTACAAAATGTTTCTAAAAGCAAGGTAAATACACCATATATAGTGGAGTTGGATATATTATATGCTTGGATTATAGTACTTCTCCCATCGACGCAACAACTCGACAATATGTGTTAGTTGTTTTTAGAATGTTTTTTAATTTAAGAGTTTATGATTAATTAGACTAATCTCATTCTTCATATGCAGGAAATGTTAAACATTACCCGTTTGGATCTTACATCTTGTAGCTCTTTGTTAGAAACTCCAAATTTTGCTATGATGCCGAAATTGAAGTATTTAAACCTTTCAAAGTGTGAGAAATTGAAAGAGATCCACCAATCAGTTGGAAATCTTACGGAACTTGATGTCTTGAATTTGGATGGATGTAGTTACCTTGAGAAGTTTTCTAGCTTTGACAAGGTATCATATCTCTAGAATATTAAACTTCAAATTGCATAAAATTTCAATACATTTCAGAAATGAAGGCGAGTACACCATATCTATTGGAGTTGCACATAATATATGTTGGGATTATAGAACTTTCCTCCTCAACGCAAAAACTTGAGAATATGTATTAGTTATTTTTATAAAGTTTTTTAATTTAAGAGTTCTATCAATTTGACTAATCTTATTCGTCTCATGCAGGAAATGAAAAATATTACCAATTTGGATCTTACATCTTGTAGCTCTTTGTTAGAAACTCCAAATTTTGCTATGATGCCAAATTTGAAGTATTTAAATCTTTCAAAGTGTGAGAAATTGAAAGAAATCCACCCATCGGTTGGAAATCTTTCAAAACTTGATATCTTGGATTTGGATGGATGTTGTAACCTTGAGAAGCTTCCCTACTTTTACAAGGTATCATATCTCTAGAATCTTAAATTTCTAATTGCATAAAATTACAAAACATTTCGCAAATAAAGTAAAACCTTATCTAGTGAAGTCGAATGTACTATATGTTGGTATTATAGAGCTTCCTTCATCAATTGAACAATTAGGCAATGCGTTATTTATTTTTAAAAAGTTTTATAATTTTAGAGTAATGATCAATTTGATTATAATCTCATCTTTCTCATGTAGGAAATGAAGAACATTACTCGTTTGGATCTTACATTTTGTAGCTCTTTGTTAGAAACTCCAAATTTTGCTATGATGCCTAATTTGAAGTATTTAAACATTTCAAAGTGTGAGAAATTGAAAGAGATCCACCCATCTGTTGGAAATCTTACAGAACTTGATGTCTTGGATTTGGATGGATGTAATAAAATTGAGAAGCTTCCCAGCTTTGACCAGGTATCATTTATCTCAAATCAAAATCTTCAATTTTCATTACATTACAAAGCATTTCTGAAATTAAGGCAAATACACCGTATCTAGTGGAGTTGGATATATTATACGCTGGTATTGTAGAACTTCCCTCGTCGAAGCAACATCTCAGCAATATGAGTTACTTATTTTAAATAAATTTTAAATTTAATATTTTTGATCAATTTGACTAATCTTATCTTTCTCATGCAGGAAATAATGAAGATTACCCATTTTGATCTTACATGTTGTAGCTCTTTGTTAGAAACTCCAAATTTTGCTATGATGCCAAATTTGAAGTATTTAAACCTTTCAAAGTGTGAGAAATTGAAAGAGATCCATTCATCTATTGGAAATCTTATGGAACTTGATGTCTTGGATTTGGATGGATGTAGTAACCTTGAGAACCTTCCTAGCTTTTATCAGGTATCGTATCTCTAAAATTTCAAACTTCAAATAACATATTTTTTTAAGGGAACCAGTGTGGTTATATTTTGATAAATACTGAAATAGAGTCAGGAGGGACAGTCTCCCAATACATAGTTGTAGCTTGTTCAAAATCAGTAGAAGCTAAACTATGTGCTAAATACTTCTGCGATCTAGGAATAAAAAGAACTGAGCAGGCATGAAATGCCGAGATATAAGCTTTGCAACTATCAATAACATAACCAGTATAAGTTCGGGGCGGATCATCTGACGAAGATAGATAGCACTGCAGTGTATGACAATCTGTGTATAAACGAACAGAGTGTTCTCCACGAGCATGTAGCCAAGACAGTGCCTCATTTGCCGCAAATGCTTCGGCCATAAGTGGTGAGAAACAGTTTGGAAGGGGGGCGCTGTATGCCGAGATATATCCACCATTCGCATCAAGCAATATTACTCCAAACGTGGCTGAGTTTGTGGCATGGCGGTAGCCGGTGTCGACATAGAATTTCCGATGTTGCATCGCGACAGCGTGATCCGAGGCGGCGATAGGTAGCAGTCCGGCCGTGGAGGCAGCCGGCGGTCCTTTGGCCGAGGAGGCAGTGGCCAGCGGCGCATTAGGCATTACATCGTGAACTTTCCTCCATGCGTGCAAGGTGGCAGTTGCTGTGGCAAGTATTTTCCTGGGCAATGGTAGGCACGCATCCCAAACCGCTCCGTTTCGCGCCCTCCAGATATGATATAGAATAGCTGCTGCTTACATAATTCCATTAGTGTCTAGAACATTCAAGATTGCACTAAACCAGTCATGGAAAATATTTGTTGTAATATTGGGGAGTGGAAGGTTAGATTGAGCCCATATGGAATGTGAAAAATCACACAAAACCAATGAGTGCATAGTATCCTCATGAATGATTCCACAAATGGCACAAATTGGATCAACATCCACCCTCTTTATAATCAAATTATTAGTAGTGGGGAGGATATCACTTATAGCTCTTTGTAAAAGAGTCTTCCACTTTGGGGGTATTTTTAGCTTCCACAGGGTGGGCCATTTATTAAAATCCCCATTACTACTAGCCTCATAATCCCCAATAATGCGCTTATAGCCATTTTTCACCGTGTAACGACCATTTGGGTCCCCATGCCAGTACCAAGGATCTTCATAATCCGGGGAGACAAGTATTTTCATAATCCTAGTCACATTATTAGGCTGGAAAATATCTGTGAGTATGTGGTGATCCCATGTTTTGGTTGCCTGGTCAATTAAACCCATCACTCTGGCTCCTGCCAATTGTTGGGGATCTCTGTATGGATCATTGGGTCTAGGTCATCCTGGAACCAAGGATGCTCCCAAATTAAAGTAGTATTACCATTTTCAACTCGCCGTCTCACCTCACTACAAATTAGGTCCTTAGCTGCCATAATACTACGCTAACAGAAACTGGGATTATTTCCTATCCCTACCTTCGAAAAAGTCTGAGTAGGGAAGTATCTTGCCTTGTAAATACGTGACAGTAATGAGCCTGGATTTGTTAACATTCGCCATGCCTGCTTGCCCAGCATTGCCAGATTAAAAGCCCTTAGGTCTTTAAATCCCAGACCTCCATATTTTTTAGGAATACACAATCTATCCCAGGCCTTCCAATAAATACCTCGGTCAGATCCTGAACCCCACCAGTACCTGTTCATCACCCTCTCAATGGCTGTGCAAACTGCCACAGGCAATAAAAAAACGCTCATTGAAAAGGTTGGCATAGAATGAGCCACACTTTTCAATAATATTTCCTTACCGGCCTGTGATAAAAGCTTCTTGTTCCATGAACCAATTCTTTGTATGATTTTATCCTCAATATAGGCAAAAACTGCTTTTTTATTGCTCCCAACAAAATATGGAAAACCCAGATATTTTCCAAACTTAGGGGCCTGAATAACACCCAGAATCTGGGCGACCTCATCCCTGTCATTTATTCCAGTATTCTTGCTATAACAGTTTTTGATTGTCGTAGCCTCTTGCACATTAGCTTTAAAAAATAACAAATTGTCATCCGCGAAAAATAAATGAGAGATTGGGGGACTCCCCTTGCTACCCTGCATCCATGTATTAAACCGGTAGTTTGTGCTTGCTGTAATAGTAAAGATAGGCCTTCTGCACAAATAATAAAGAGATAGGGAGATAATGGATCACCTTGCCTCAAACCTCGAGTGGGAGTTACCTGGTCACTACGAGATCCATTAATCAAGAAGCTATATGAGACAGTAGTTACACATAGCATAATTAATTTTACCCACTGCTCATCAAAACCTAGAGCCAAAAGCATTCCTCTCAAGAAAGGTCATTCCATACGGTCATATGCTTTTGCCATATCTAATTTCAGGGCCCCCCAACCAACCGCACCACATTGCTTTCTATTTAAATAATGCCCAACTTCTGTAGCGATTAAAATATTATCAGTGATAAGTCTATCTGGTATAAGTACACTCTGCGAGTCTGAAATAATATCCTTCATCATAGGCTTCATCCTATTAGTAATGATCTTAGCCATAATCATGTATACCACATTACTCAAAGTTATAGGTCTAAGATCTGGGACCAGCTCGAGGGTATTCTTCTTGGGGATTAGCACAACATCTGTATCATTCAAATTGGGAGCAAAAAATCAGGTATTTAGGCAGTTGATTATAAACTGTGAAACATCCCCCCACTACATCCCAAAAATGCTGATAGAATCCTAGGTTCATTCCATCAAGGCCCCCCTTTATCAGGAAGCATAGCAAATAGAGCATCTTTTACCTCATTTATTTCAAAGGCCAGAGTAAAGACTCATTTTGGGCGCCGCTAACACGTGGGGTTATATTACCAAACAAGTTATCACCACTACCAGGATTGCTAGTGCAAAAGATTTTATCAAAATAATTCCTTTCAAAGCTTCCCCCTCAACCCAATCCCCATAATCATTCATAAGTGTAACACCCCCTAAAAACCATGCTATTTAAAACCTTAAAACATGCAGATATCTAAACCAAAACATCAAACACAACGGAAGACTGAAAGAGGATATATATAAAACATAGGGAACGGGGTGCTATGCCACGCTCACTCAAAGTTGAACGCACATGCTACATCTGCATTGTTCAACAACTAAAATCAACATAACAAAGTACTAAGTCTAAATTGGCTCACAGGTCACAAAACATAAGAGGGGAGCTATACTAGCTAGCACTAGACCGCGCACTCGTCTAAGCATCACCTGAAAGAAGCATATAAAACATGGGACGACGCCCGGTCAGCGAATAATGCTGGTAACCCACCAATACATGTGAAATATCATACATAGATAAGATATAAGTTTGTAAAGCCATTTTCGAAATGGAACACATATATATAAGTCCAAAACCAAGAGTAATAGTCAACACAAGACTCAACACTCTCAACAAGAACAGGGGAACACATCCCAAGACTACAAAGAACAACAACGACTCACAAGAAGTCTCAAGGTATAATCTATCGTCACACAATAGATTAATACCCGACATGCATAACTCAAAGGAATAAGGACACACCAAACGGCAACACATGCCAAGGCAACACATGCCTTTGTGACTACACACGTCACAAGAAGATAACTCACAACAACGGCTACACAAACCCTCGTGACATCACCATCACGAGTTGATATGCCTTCCTTATGCACGGTTCCAACCTTATGGCTACCCCCAACCTTATGTCTAGTTCCAACCTTTACCTCCAGGACCCATGTACACCAAGTCCAACCTTTTCCCTCCAAGGACCGTCGTCCCCTCTCCAACAGAACTCCAACAGAACCACCGATTTCATAGTACACGAGGGTACCGATCACACACACGGCAACTGTAACACCCCAGATTTTCGAAACTTTTAAAGCTTATATAATAAAGGTAATTTCTCATAAAATCCCAAACAGAGTAATACTAATCACAAGTGTATGGGGTGCTATGCCACATCTGAGCTGGAGAACTCAGATGCACAGGCTAAACTAACTAATATCCTCAATACATCATTATGGCACGCAGGCCGAAAGGAAAGACTATCTATCTAATCCACGATCTTCTAGCGCGCTCTGGGATATACTCGTCTGTGCCTGAAAGCCAAATATATCTGTTCAGCGAGAGATGCTGGTAACCCACTCCAACGCGTTGAAATACATTATAGATAGATATATATAGATATAAGAAAAGTCATTTTGAAGCAGGAAGATATATCCTAGGAAACTCTAGTTTTAAAAATCGGATTAGACTCGACAAATAGGGATAAGCACATTCAACAATTATAACCAAACATGTAAAGATACTAGCATATATCCTATGAGATAAGCACATTCAACAGTTGTAACCAAACATGTAGAGATGCTAGCATATATCCTATAGTCACGGATTCAATTCAACTCATTTATATCATCATTTAACTCATCACACAAGCACACTTTGTTGGCGCCACAGGACCTCGCATGCCCATACATGAGGGTCAACGCATATAGCTCTGACACGGCCCCGCAGCACCCTGCCCCGTATCGCAACACGGA